TAACCTATAATAGAGATCTCCCTAGAACTTCCGAAGTTCATGATCAAGGATCATCGAGGTCTCAGCACGTGTCATTGATTTACAAAATTTGTCAAATAAGGAAGAGACTGCGAAAAAGCCGTTTTCAGGAACTTGCTGTTACTTCGGACGCAAAATTACTGGCTGAGGAGCAGTTACGGAAACGTACGCAAAGTGACGAGGCAGAGATTGCCGAGCAGCGCAGAATTATTGCAATATTGCGTTCTGAACTTAAGACAGCGGTAACTATTTAAAATTAAATTGAAAAGTCCATAAAAGAAAGTCAGATTAGGTGTTCGGGCACGGAAAAAGAGTTTGACTCACATCGGATGGGCTGAAATCCCGCGGGGGTTGGAGTGCTTGGGGTATTTTGCCGAAAGCATCTGTACGTGAAATTTGACGTAATTCCGCACCCGGAGCAGCTGGAGTGCTGAAATTTTCTGGACGTGGTCCAGGATCGTGTCTGGGCAAACGTACGTGGATACGGCGTCCACGTTTCCCCTCACGTATCAATACGTGAAATTTGACTTAACTCCACAACCGAAGCATCCTAGAGTGCTGAATTTTCTTGCAGGCCAGAGCTGTCATTTGTTCCTCTAGCGCAAAAACCAATCCTTTTGCAGTTTTTTACAGTTTTTGAAGCTCACTGTGAAAAATCCATGGAAGCTTGTCTGTCTGAAGGTATTTTTCTTGAAAAAACATTACAGCGTGAGGAAATGGATGAAGCGATTATGAAGTACGAGCAGCAGCTGGACGAAAATCGCGTGGAATTGGAAGGAAAAATCGAAAGCAAAGATTTTGAAATTGCCGAACTTGTTGCTCTCATCGCAGAAATGAAGCAGCGACTCGACGCTCTGCAAATTTCCCTCACCGATACTCGCGTTGTTGCTCTTCAGGTTCTGATTTTGTTTTTTTTTACATCTGTTATCGGTTTTTTAGGAATTATTTGAGCGATAGAATTCAGAACCAACAACAATCACTCGGTTGCCCTCTTCATGGGGATTTTGATGCGCAAGTAGTCTGGTCGATCAGCGAATTCTCGAGCTAAATGTGTTGTGAAAGCCGCTTTTTCGCCCTTTAGGAATGAAAAATTGCGGCCGTCAAAGGGACAAATTGTAGCCTCAAAAGAAATGGACGATCCAAAAAAAATCAAAATGTGGGACGACCGAAATCAGGAAATATTAAAACGAAGGGTGGGATAAGATTGTTAAATACGCCGAGCCGTAAGCTAGGGCGCTAAATATGTCGAACCATAAGCTCTAAAACAAGCGGGCAGTCTGAAGCATGAAAAATGTGGAACGGTCAAAGTCCGAAAATTTTAAGCTAGGATAGGGTTAGTTTAATAAATTATGATGGAAAAGATAGTAGGGCTGTTTATTTGGCACAAAGCCACACGATATGTTGAAAGGTCATGTGGAGAGGAATATGGTAAATGGTAAATATGGTAAATGGTAAATAAATGAAGGGAAAAGGAATATGGTTTCATTTCTTAGCTGTAAACACAGACAGTAGAAGGTGCGGGAATCATCAATGCAGCCCCATGTTCAGCGAGCTAGCCGCATTAAAATTAGAATAATCGGTTAGCAGTTGCGAAGGTAACTTACAAAGTTCCATGCGCTCTCTCCTGATAGTGAATTAGCGCTTGGGAAATGGTACGGTACTGGATTAGTTGTGCTGACCAAATCTGCTGTGTAACTAACAGTTATGGAAACTAGCGTTAATTGGACTTACAGGTGCGAAATATCCGCGGCGAACTGGAAAATGCGAGTAGCGAAATCCGTGATTTACATTTTCTGTTGGCAGTTGTCCAAAATCGGTGCCTCGCTCTTAAACATGAAAATGTGCATCAGAAAGAACGGATCGAAAGTCTCGAAAAGATTGTAAGAAAATGCTTTTTTTGAAAAAAAAAAACTTTTTTGGGTCTCCTTGCAGAGCTCTTATTAGATCTCTTTATTCATAGTCTGGTTCTCCAACTGCAGCTATGTCATCCCCTCATTATTTATCCTGATTTGTTGCAGATTGCTGTGAGTAATGCTCGATCGAATGCTTTAATGGCATCGCTGGAAGAGCAGAACAAAAAGGTTGGAGCAGCACTGCTGCTTCTTCGCTTTCTAGGGTTATTAAAATACTTGACACCTAATTAGATATTAAGATCAAAATAATATCGAATTAAGATATTAGGATTAGATGTTAGGAACATTCATTACACGATTTAATTTTAACATCTACTAATTCTAATTACCATAATGGTCATACTGACGAGGTCCAGTTGTGGTAATGGCAAGAATTGTATACGATTTAATGAACCGAAACTTTTCTTACCATCAAAATAATTTTGATAATTTACAAATCTTGTAATTCTTATCTCTTACCTTCCTCTCAGTTCATCTCTTTTCGTCTCATTTTAATATAGGAGGCTGTACTGACGATTCCCACTCCTATCCGCATGCATAGTCCGGTTTGCGTTTACAGCTAAGAGATGAAACACAGGCTGCATCGTAAAATGTCTTTTTGTACATGATACTTATGTCGAATCCCTCTGCTGTACTATTTAATATACCTTCTTATTAAATGAGTTCCGTCTATTCCATCTTTTCTGTAGCATACGGAAACAATGACAGCGAAGCAGGCGGATTTGCAAGAAAAACAGCTGATGCTTTATGATGCCTGGGATCGACTCCGTATGAGTACTGATGCGAACACTTGCCTGCAGGAAGAAATGCGTCAACGTGATGGTTTGTAATTGAAAAATCATTGGAATTTCACCACCAGCAATGCATTTCAACGTTTATTTTATACAACATTTTCACCATGCGGGAGGGGATGGGGTGGGAGACAATGGAAAAAATGGATAGCTACGCTCGGCTTATGAGAACATTCCAGTAACATCACTAAGATGGGATTCCCGCACTGACCTTCTTCATGCAATGCAGGGAATAATGAATTGCGGCCGTTAGAAGGCTGAATCGTAATCTTAAAACAACTAGACGGTCCAAAGAAATCAAAATGTGGAATAGCCGGATCCACGAAGTCAAAACGAAGGGTGGGACAAGTTTGTTAAAAAAAATGTTGCGGCTGTTGGTAGGCCGAATCGTACTCTCTGCAACAAGCGGGAGGTCCGAAGCATGAAAAATGTGGGTCGGGCGTAGTCCGAAAATTAGGGTGGGGTAACTTAATAAGTTATGATGGAAAAGATAGTAAGATTGTACAAGTGGCAAATAAAATAACACAGCTTTCAAAACTGGCCTGGTTCAGATGAAGAAATCAAGCGTTTCGCACAGCAGAAGAGCCTTATATATGTGTGTGTAACAGTTGGCACAAATTTCAGTGGCCTATCAATTGCTGGAGCAACGCCTTGCAGCTGCTGAGGAGAGATGTTCGACTATGTCGATGCGTTTTTCGATCAGTAGCCTG